TCCAACAATCCCCAACTCTGGTTTGGTGGAAATAAATCCTTAATTCACCGACGTAGATGATAAAAACAGCAGTTTCAGTCGGAGCAGACCGGCTATGGAAACAAACCACATTGAGTTGTTTAACAGAGATACGATTGGTGATTATGAGACTTTACTGATAGTACATTTGTGGATCAGTAATATCACCAGCTGGCTGGAAACTGCCTCAACAACACGTCAAACCTTCAGAAGAAAAACAAAAGAAGAGAACACAGAGCAGATAGAAATGAGAAATAGTGTCCTCTGTAACCTCGAGCGTCCTTATTAACACAGATGGTCTCAGCACAGGTGCAGTTTCTATTGTCAACACTGTTGTAGTAACAGACAGACAACACAAGGTGGCGCCTCTGCCCCTCACTGAGCAGCATGTTGGGATGCAGCATGTATGCTTGTTTTTCTTCAATCCCTCCTCTGATTTTGTTCACCTGTCCCCCTTCCTCCTCCTCCTCCTCCTCCTCCCAACCCCCACTCCCTTCCTCCCCCCTCCTCTTTGTCCCTCAGGAGATCCAGATGAAGAGGACGGCCATCGAGGCGTTCAACGAGACCATCAAGATCTTCGAGGAGCAGTGTCAGACTCAGGAGCGCTTCAGCAAAGAGTACATTGAGAAGTTTCGCCGAGAGGGCAACGAGAAGGAGATCCAGAGGTAGGCTGTTGCCACGGAAACTGTGAGGGAGACCTCTTAAAAAATAAAAAATAAAATACACACACATACATACACACAGAAATTTGAAGGAGCCCTTGTTGCCATGGTACCAGAGGCTGCGGGAAGAAAAGCACCTGCTGGTAAATTTAGTGTGAAGCTGAAAAAAGTCATTTGTGTTCAGGAATTGTTGTAATTCAGTGGTTGGCCAGCAGAGAGCAGCGTTCAGCACACAGTCACACAGATTACCAGACAAACAGAATCAAAAACATGTGAATATACAGTGTTTATAACTCTGAACTAACAGGATTAACAGTGTGTGTCACTGCGGTGGGTCTTACAGTCCTCTTGGTATTTATGTGCACTAAAGCTGTGCGCTAATATTGTTTCACCATCATTTACAAATTCTATTTTAAGTTAACTGTAATTAAACACAACCATAATAAGTCTTCAGGCTTTTGTTTCATGTGATGCACAACAGTCCACTGCATGAAACATACTGATTATTATATTTATAGTACACACATTTTAACAAAAGAAAATGACGTTACACATCACAGAACCAGAGTTATCCGTATTGGACGACCCTTTACTCTTGTGTTCAGAAACCGAGAGGAAACATGGTTTAAAGAGTTAATGTGACAACCAATAACCTACAATAACTACAACACCAAAACAAGAAATACACATCACTGTGTTCAAATAAAGACCTGATCCTGATCCTCTGTTCTCAGGATCATGGAGAACTACGACAAGCTCAAGTCTCGGATCAGCGAGATCGTGGACAGCAAGCGCCACCTAGAGGTCGACCTGAAGAAACAGGCGGCCGACTACAGAGAGATCGACAAGAAGATGAACAGCATCAAACCAGACCTGATCCAGCTCCGTAAGACCAGGGACCAGTACCTCATGTAAGACACACACTCAGAAACACACACACAGATCGAATCAAAGCTGTGTGGTTCCACGCTAACTGCTGTGTTTGTGTGGCAGGTGGTTGACTCAGAAGGGAGTTCGTCAGAGGAAACTGAACGAGTGGCTCGGCCTGAAGAACGAAACCACAGAGGAGTAAGTCTGATCCGCTCTCCGCTGCCCCCCCAGTGGGAGGGATTGGGGTTTTTCTGATACTGGTCTGTGTGTGTGTCATACCCTGCTAACATGCTCTGTGTGTGTCCCCTCCGTCCTCAGTGAGTACAGCATGGTGGAGGATGAGGAGGACCTTCCTCACCATGACGAGCGTCTGTGGCGTCTGGGAAACATCAACCGCAACCAGGCAGAGTCTCTGCTCCGCGGGAAGAGAGACGGGACCTTCCTGGTCCGGGACAGCAGCAAGCCGGGCTGCTACGCCTGCTCTGTGGTGTAAGACTCACCTGCTCCTCTACCTGCTGGCTGATCTGTTGATGCTTTTGTTTTGAAAATGTCCTGTAGTTGTCTCTTTATCTAATCTCTCTTCTGTCTCTTCCTCAGTGTGGACGGAGAGGTGAAACACTGCGTCATCAACAAGACGAGCACCGGGTTCGGTTTCGCGGAGCCCTACAACCTGTACGGCTCTCTGAAGGAGCTGGTGCTTCACTACCAGCACACCTCGCTGGTCCAACACAACGACTCGCTCAACGTCACGCTGGCCTTCCCCGTCTACAGCCAGCAGAGACGGTGACCCGTCTCCTGATCCACACTGGCACCGTGGACCAGCAGCAGACCTCGTTTACACACTCGACCCCCCTCCCCAAGAACACGAGCCGGTTGGGCCACGTCAGAACCTGAGCACACGACACATTCAGAGCTCTGTGATTAGTTAGCACAATAGTGACGCCTGGGACGGACATCAGGAGTCTGTCTCAAAGACGATAAACAGTCCTGGTGCTGCAGATCACATGGAGCTCTAACTTCCTGTCAGCAGCTCCACCCGATTTTAAAAAAACTGCAGTGAAAATATAGTTCAGTTATGCAACATCAACATACATTGTGATTTACTCTCAGAGATCAGATACTTGAGGTCGGGATCACACTGGAACCTTTTTGTTCATTTTTCTGGGGGATTTGAGTGTTTGGATGGTTCTTAAAGGGTTAAAAAGGCATTCTTCATTTCATCTGGATAAGAGTGAAACAAAAATAATTCCTAAATTCAGACTTTAAACATTTTCTGCAGCTGGACGAGTTGTGCTGCTTACAGTTCGGTATTAAAGAAACACAACGCATCTCACAGCGAGTTTAATGTCCGTTTACTGTACGTGCTGTCAGAGCATAAGGATTCCCCCTCCAGAGGAATGACAAAGCGCTCAGGGGCAAGAAGAGAGGATAACTGTATGTCTAATACCCAATCAGGTTCTCTTACCACTAACCTTTGACAACCTAATGAACAGGAAAGCTTCCAGCGTGATCACAACCTCACTTTCCATTTCCTGTCTGTGGAGAAACGAGGAACTGAACTGTCGCCTCCTTTTGGCTCGTGGAGGTTAGAACTGGTCTGAACTGAGTCGTCTCCATTAATCATGAACTGCTGATCCAGAACGCTTCAGCAGAACCCCAACTGGACCGGACTCTGATGGTGTTCTTCCACCAAGAGTGGCTCTAGTTCTTGAACCGGTTCTTGGACTCTTGGAACCTCGGTGCTATCTCGTGATCCACCAGTTTTGAGTGGAACCATTGTAATCAAGGATGCATCATCAACGGAGGGCGCTGCACAACCACCTGTAGAATACAACACGCCCACTTCAAGGTTCCTGAGGTAAAGCGGCTCTATTTCGGTGCCAGCTGGGAACCAACTTTTCAGGTTCCACGTTCAAGGTTCCAAACAGTTCAGAACTAGGTGCTTAAAACCGGAACAGAGCCGGTTCCCTGTTG